AATATAGTTATTTACATGAATTCAGTGAGAATATGTTTTCTTTTATACGAGGACACACTGGAGAAACTGGTTATTTTGCCAAGGCTTTGACTGAAATGGCATATTTTCAAATATGATCTGACTTCTTTGAGAAATTGAGGTTGATTTTATAAAGCTGATTTAAAAAAAAACAAAAACGCTTAGAAAGACTGGCCTAGTACCTTCTCTACAGTCCTTTATAAGGTTCCTGACCTGTGGTAAGTAAAGAATGTCACTTTGTTGTTGTTTTTGAGATGGAGTTTTGCTCTTGCTCAGGCTCGAGTACAAGGGAACAATCTCTGCTCACTAAAATCTCCGTCTCCCAGGTTACAGTGATTCTCCTGCCTCAGCCTCCTGAGTAGCTGGGATTACAGGTGCCTGCCACCACACCTGACTAATTTTTATATTTTAGTAGAGACAAGGTTTTGCCATGTTGGCCAGACTGGTCTCCAACTCCTGATCTCAGGTGATCCGCCTGCCTCAGCCTCCCAAAGTGCTGGGATTACAGGCGTGATCCCAGGAACCTCTAGTTATTTGTAAATCTTTAGAAGAATTCACCCAATTTATACAGCTATTGCAGCCTGATGGCAAATCCCTGGCTTTGTTAGCCTCAAGGCTTTAAAAAATCTGAGATTCTTTATTTAAAAGTTCCAAAAAAGCCAATTTTAAAAGAACCTATATGGCCAATCACTATTCTTGCTGCACTTTATGCAAATAATCAGGTCAAGTATAATAAGACTAAAATTCATTTTGCAAATAAATTGGTCCTACAATAATTTAGCCTTGGTAGAAATAGAGAAACTTAGAAAAAAAATTACGTTTCAGAAAAAAAACTATTGTATACCCATGGTTAGTTTTTTTTTTTTTTTTTTTTTGAGACAGAGTCTTACTCTTTTGCCCAGGCTGGAGTGCAGTGGCGCGATCTCGGCTCACTGCAAGCCCTGCCTCCCAGGTTCACGCCATTCTCCTGCCTCAGCCTCCCGAGTAGCTGGGACTACGGGCGCCCGCCACTATGTCTGGCTAATTTTTTGTATTTTTAGTACAGACGGGGTTTCACCATGTTAGCCGGGATGGTCTTGATCTCCTGACCTCGTGATCTGCCTGCCTCGGCCTCCCAAAGTGCTGAGATTATAGGCGTGAGCCACCGCGCCCAGCCTAGATTCTAGTCTTAACCATTGTTTTTATTACTTGCCTACAATTTGGACTAAATCCTAAATTATTTTTTGGCTACAACAAGTCTCTAAAGACAAACCCAGTTTTAATTTTTTTCATGTTGTTTTTAGTTGACTGCCTAATGGAATAGGGTTTTTTTTTTTTTTTTTTTTTTTTTGCTCTGGCATACAAATTCTTTTTGACTGTAGTCCTTGTGTGAATATTAATGTTTTTTATCTCTCAGTGTTTTACTTCATCCGAGAAAATAAAAATCATGGTACTCCAAAGACTAGAGATGCTTCAAGAAAGCCTATGCATTTTTCCTCATCTGAAATCCCACTGGGCCTGATCTGTTTCCCATTGCCAATGCACTGCTGCTAAAGCTATACGATATCAAGCACCCTTCCTCTAAACTCAAGGACCACTGAAGAAGAGGAGAGTGTGTGAGATTCTAAGAGCCTGATTAGAAAGCTGGAGTGTGGCGGTTATAGCAATTCCATCTTGGATTCTAATCTGCCATGTTAACATCCGATTAACCCCACTTCTAGGAATGCCTCTAAGATTTCTGCCTTATCTAGTATCTCTTATATAAGAGCACTTACCATAAATCCTACCCTTAGGCAAATTCCACATATTCCTGCTGAAGCATGATTATCCTTTCCCCATGGTATATCAACCCTGGGTCTGGGGAGTAACAGTGAGGGAATCCTTTGTCTCACAGCCGCCTGAGACATAGCTTCTGTTTGTAAGCCCCTATTAAATGTTTCTCTCTGAGAAACTGTTTGGTCACTCTCTTTGTTCAGTGTCTCAGCTCCCTTGGCCTTTGGGGGTAGGTTTGCATAGACCTGCTCACTTACCACAGAGCAAGCTTACTCACAGTATGGTGGCTGGGTTGGAAGGGCAAGCAACACAAGAGAGAAAAAGCTAGGTAGAAGCTGTATCCTTTTTATATCCTAGCGTTGGAAATCACATAGCATAATCTCTGCCATTTAATAGCAGTCACAAGCTCCCATCAAAATTCAAGTGGAGAAAACAGATACCTATTAACAGTAGGAGAAATGTCAATCACATTGTACCTTTTATTTAAGTGGATGAAATGTGTATGTGTATTTGCTTTTTAAGATGGAGTCTTGCTCTGTCGCCTAGGCTGGAGTGCAGTGGTGCAATCTTGGCTCACTGCAATCTCCACTTCCCAGTTCAAGTGATTCTCCTGCCTCAGCCTCCCGAGTAGCTGGATTACAGGTGCCCCCACCATGCCTGGCTAATTTTTTTTCTATTTTTTTGGTACAGATGGGGTTTCAGCATGTTGGTCAGGCTGGCCTCGAACGCCTGACCTCAAATGATCCACCTGCCTCAGCCTCCCAAAATGCTGGGATTACAGGCAAAGCCACACACACCTGGCCTTGTGTGTGTATTTGTATGTGCATTTGTGTATACATCTTTGGGAAATGCAATCTGCCACAACAGGAAAGGAGGAATAAAGGAGCAAATAATAAATGGGATAAATGGAAAACAACTACCAAGATGGGAGTTTAAAACCCAAACGGATCAATAATTACATTAAATATAAACAGATCAAACACTCCAATTACAAGACACAGGCCAGGCATGGTGACTCATGCCTGTAATCCTAGCACTCTGGGAGGCTGAGGTGTGAAGATCACTTGATTCCAGGAGGTTGAGACCAGCCTGGGCAACATAGTGAGATCCCACCTCTACAACAACAAAAAAAGTAAAAATTAGTTGGGTGTGGTGGGGCACACCTGTAGTCCCAGCTGCTTGAGAGGTTGAGGCAGAAGAATTGCTTGAGTCTGAGAGGCTGAAGATGCAGTGAGCTGTGATCATGCCACTGGGTGAAAGAGCTGACTCCATTCTGGGAGAAAGAACTGAAATCCTATCTCTAAAATACATACATACATAGAAATAAAAAAGAAGACAGATTGTCAAACTAGTTGAAAAAGCAAGTGGTTATTTTTCAGAAACACATTGTTAAAAAAAGACAGATTGAAAGTAAAAGAAAATATATGCAACAGTGTTTGTGTTGCATATATATGTGTATATATAGATGAGAGATAAGACAGACACAGACATAAATACATGCTGACAAGAATGAGCCTACAGAGAGAGGTGCTGAGAATGATAATTCAGTGGTGAGTAAACATTGCATCTGTTTCCTGAGAAGCTTAAAAATAAGTGATACTATAGCTTCCAAGTATCATATTTCATTTCTTTTCTTGTAATCAAGAAATTGAGTACTTAAGGTCATACAGAAATACATGAGAGTCAGAAATGGAATCTACATTTCCAACTCTTAGTCAAATTGATTAGTATTTCAAAAAGAATTTATCAAGGGTCTACATGTCATAGTAACTGACAGATAAGATGCAGTTCCTACTCTAAATAAGCTTAAGGTATAGTATTTCTTCTACATATTGTTACAGTAGGTAGCTAGTCAAGCATGAGTCAGGCAAGAGAGAGTTCCCCCCACCCACCAGAATGTGAGGTGACTATCAGGTGATGCTCACTCTGCTTCTCTAAAATAACAATTGGTCACAGTCAGCACCAGGGAAAGGCAGTTTCTCAACAGATAAACACCTGAAATTGGTAACTGGCAGCTTTCAGGAATTGGGCGAATGAGCTCAAACATGTGCATTAAGAGGCAAAATGGCAGAGTATGACCTTCCAGGGGCATGCCACCAGAATTCGAAAGAAAGCCTCAGATAAGCATGTATGAAACTCCAGTAAACACACTGTGCATGCTCATATCCCAAGCATAAGCAGGGCACTATGCATGTGGGTGGTTCCCCTTAACCCTTAAGGGAAGGATGAAGGGAAAGGGGTGCAAGATGCCAGAAGTAGGCCAGCATATAAAATCCTAGGTTCAAGGTTAAACAAGGCACTTGACCTCCAAGATGCCTGCTTGGGTCTCTCCCAACTGTGTTTTCCTTTCTTTCTCGCTCTAAAACTTTTTAATAAACTTCTGCTCCTGCTCTGAAACTTGCTTTGGTCTCTTTTACTGCCTTATGCCCCTCAGTTGAATTCTTTCTTTTGAGGAGGCAAGAAATGAGACTCTTGGAGACCCACACAGATTTGCCACCAGTAACTCAGATATTCGCCACCCCTAACAATATTATCCATTAAATTTATTTGTATTCAAATATCACATGCATCAACCAGTGTACCCAAACAGAAATAAGTCAATTAGAAAGTCATTAACTTTAGCTCAACTCATACTTGCTTTTTCTGGTATTTTTTAACATTACATTTCACTACCAGAAATCATTCCTGAATTGCATAAATAGGTATAACATATATTCAAAGATTCAAGAAATATTTTCACAGAATCTAATTCTAACATGGCATTAGTCTTACATTAAAAGAAAATTACCCTTCAAACAAAATATAAATAGGACCACAATACAGTTTCCCAGAATAGGAGGGCTTATTCTATAAAATTCTAGGCAATAGTCTTTTAAAAGAGGGAGAAATATTGATAAGGATTGGGAAGACAGAATAAAGAAGTTTTAACAAATGACTTCTGATAGCCTTTCATTTTCCTCAGAAATATAAATTCTAGCTCAATATTGTCATAATAGCAAGTCCCCACTGACATCCTTTCTAAGCGAATCAAAATGAAAAGACACACTTATCTGAACACTCCTGGCAACTCTACAGCTGTGATTATGAAATGAGCAGAAAGACTAGTGGTCTTCATGAACTGCTAAAATTCCAAACACTGAAGTAAATAAACTGATTTAATTCAAGAGCTGAGATTTTAACTTTTTTCCAATCGACCCAAAAGAAATAGTCCTGATTAAAATACAAAGTACCTGGATTCTTCCTCTTGAGTCTTCTTTACCAGCAGTAAAGGAAAAATGACAGACACTCTCCCAAAAGTTGCCCAGAAGGCCAAAACCTCAAATATGCCTTTGGAAGTATAACAGAGCTAACTTAAGTGCTAGGTTACCACATACCTCTTGCTCTAGTTTCCTATTAATTTTTAACAGTTATTGAACCCAATAAATGTATCACTATTTTCCCTCTTCATTTTCTGTTCTCTCTAAATCCCCCCCTCTTAGGGATTGCCACTACATTTTACTCACATATTTTAGTAATTTTCTTTATAGAAGTTGTTTGACCCCTATTGGTACCATTAGGGCATATTTTTCTTCTGCAATAAAATACTCAAGGTAACTTCTGAAGGGATCTGCATTTGCAAATGTTTTCTTTCCTGAGACAACAAAAGCTGAAAAATACAAATGTGATCACAGTAATGAGTAATAAAATACTCAAGCCCCACTTTCAGAATTTGGGGAGCACCAAATCTCCTACTAATCCTCCTCAACTAATTCACACAGTTTCTTGAAATAGCTATAGAATGGAGTGTTAGTAGGATTTTACACGACAATAAAAGGACTATCTCTATAAAAGTTTTGGATCTTTTTTGAGGTGATAAGAGCATTTAAAAAGTACGAACTTAAAGGAAACTACTGGTAAATTCAACTTAATTTTAAGGAAGTCTGATCAGCCAAATACTCCATAAAATACTTGAAAACTACAAGCTACTACCTTGCAAGACTTATGCTACAGATACAATTGATTAAGAATTATTAACTAGGATACATAAAATATTTCTAAAAATGTAATGTCTAAAAGTCTCAGGTGAATATGAGAAAAAGTCTTAAACAGGTACTTAACAGACAATGAGACACAAGCATAAGTATATGGGAAAAGGCTTAACTCATTTATTATCAAAGAAATGCAAATTAAAATCATGGGGTATATTTCATACCTATAAGGTTGGCAAAAATTAAAAATTCCAAAAATAAGAGTTAGTTAGGAAGCGAATCACTCTGACTCAAGCCACACTAAGGGAATATAAATTGGTACCACCACTTCGGAAAGCAATTTGACAATGTCTAATAAATGTGACAATATGAATAACTTTTGACCCAGCAATTCCTCTTCTAGAGAACAAAAATAAATGAATTACAACGACATGCAATAACCTGGATGAATCTTATAAACATAATGTTGTTAGAAACTAGTCATAAATATACATAAATAAATCTTACAAATTTATATTTGCTGAACTAAAACCATAGGCCACACTTTTGGAGTAAATATTTAAACAAAAGCAAGGAAAGGATTACTGAGAGTCTGGATTGTGGTGAAAAATTATTAATGTAGTTTACATTAACAGAATGCAAGTAAATGAAAAAAATACATACCATGCAACAGTAAGCATAAGAAACCTAAAGTAGTAATGAAAGATTATAAATATCATATACCTATATGACAAGGTCATAAAAATCATAAATCCAAATAATGGATTTCAAGATATATGGGGCAAAAATTGACAGAAAAAAAAAATAGGAAAAATAGACAATTTCATAACCATGAGTGGAGGTGTTTAAAACCCTCTTTTAACAATTGGTAGAAAACTTGAAAAAACTCAGTAAAGGCATAGATTTCAACACTATAATGACCTTACCCTAATCGCCTCAACAACTTCAGATGTACATGGCATGTTCAACAAGATAGGCCATAAGGTAGACCATAAAATCTTGATACATGTAAAAATACTGAAATCATATATTCTCAATGAAATTAGAAATTAATAACAGTAAGCTATCTAGAAAACTCCCAAATATTTGAAAATCAAACATATTTATATATGTGTATATATATATAGATAGATAGAGAGATAGATAATAAGTCATGAGTCAAAAAGAAATCACAGTGGAAATTAGGAAATATTTCAAACTGAATGATGAATAATAATATAATTTTTAAGGAAGGCAAAGCTAAAAAATGGATAAACTACAACCTAGACTGATTAAATAAAAACAAGATAGGACACAAATAACAACTCAAAATGAAAGTGGGCTTGTTATTATAGATCCAGTTGACATTAGTTAGGGAATATTATGAACAACTTTATGCTAACTAATTTGGTAACTTATATGAAATCAATTACTTGAAAAAATTTACTGAAGAATAAATGAGACCAAGAAACATAATAATGACCAACTAAATAAACCAGGATTGGATCCTAGATTGGAGGTGAAATTGCTATAAAGGCCATTACAGGGCATTGGTGAAATTTGAATATGGATAGTATATTATTGTTACATCAGTGTTACATATTTTGAATTTGGTATTTCATGATGGAAAGCAGAACTCTGATGGTTGCTCCAGTCTGTTACTGTACAGCTAAGATTAACTTTGGAATTCTATGGGATCAGAGGTTACTATTTTTAAATTTGGAAACCTTTTAAGTAAAAGCTTTAGGATTTTTGCACTGTGAAACAACCTAGTGAAAATTTCAAGGTCCTTGTCACTTTGTGTTTTAGGATTCACAGAATATGTGCTAATGGGATTATGAATCAAAGAAGCAGGACCAAATTGTTCATTCCTAGGTTTAGGGTCAAGAAATTCACAGTAGAGTAGCTTCTACTTCTGAGTAGAAAGATTTATGGCAGACCAATTCTCTAAGAACTAGAAAAGCAGGATTAGAAAGAACAGAAAAGCAAAACACTGGGAACAATTTAAATAGCCAATTGAATATTGGTTAAATAATTGCATGACATCTAATTACATAATAATATGCTATTAATCAAATTTGTTATTCTTGGCTATTTAAAAATATGGGGAAATGCTTCTAATGTGAAGGGGAGCATGATGCCATAGTAATTGTAAAATACAGTAATTGTAAAATATTTTTTTCATTTGAAAATATACCAAAATGTTAGGTAATTATGAGCGGCAAAATAGGTTTGTTTTTTCATTCTTGTTTTTGCTTTTTTCTTCCCCAATTTTCTAAAAACAATGTGCTACTTTTGTAATCAGAAAAATGACACGTTAAGAGAGGGTGGAGTCTATTTTATGCTGTTTAAAACACATCTTACATATGTAAAACCATTCTATTGAGTCTGAATCTCTATTAGCAGGCTTTATGTAAGCATACCTACTAAGCTTACAGAAGTTCCAACTAAGTAAAATTAGTTAACTGATATCTTTTTAATGTAAAAATCATTAAATTTTTAAAAATGTAAACCCTTTAAAATTACAATATATGTTTGATTATCTCATTAAACAAGTCAGCAAGCCTAATTTAATCTTTCAGGAAAACTAAAGGCCATTATTCTGACATATTCACTGTATTGAACTATAAACCAGTGATGCCCTCTAGAGGTACTGATGGACATGCAGCTTACCTTCACTGTTGGGATGTGTTTACCCCCCTTGTTGGCTAAATTTACCACGGCTGTTGCTTCAGGTGGCAGTACTTGTCTCCCACCTCATTACTAGCACCTAGATCCATGTTCTCAAAACATAATCAGCTTCTGAAGCATGCAGAAGCTCTGGACCTGGACCTACTCCAGACTTACCGAATCAGAATTTGCATTTTTAAAAGATCCCCACATGAAAAAATGAATAAGTAAAAGATCCCAAATGATTAATATGCACATTACATTTTCAGAATATTGCTTTAGGCTACAAAGGAGAAATTTCTTCTGTCCTAACAATCACATGAAGCTGCTTAGTTTTTGCAGTTACCTCTCCAGTTTTAACTGTTTTTCCATATAGACCTCCTCATCCCTTATTTCCATCGTGCCCTTTGTTTTTCTATGTCTCTGGATCAGAAGGAAAAATTGTATAGAAAATGAGATAATGAAATCCTGTACATAAAATTCCAATGATTCCTTGCTGAATCTTTTACACAGCAGAAGCACAGGGACATACAGTAGGTCTTCTGTATCTGTGTGTTCCCCATCTGTGGATTCAACCAATTGTGGATCAAAAATGTTCGGGGGAGAGGGGAGGAGAAGATGACTACATCTGTACTGAATATGCTGAATATGTATACTTTTTTCCTTCTGATTATTCCCTAAATAATCAGCATAACAACTATTTACATAGCTATTTACATTGTATTCACTATTTACATAGCTATTTACATTGTATTCACAATTGTAAATACTATTTATATAGCTATTTACATAGCTACATATTTACATAACTTTAAAATTTACATATTTACATAACTACATTGTATTCACAATTTACGTATTTACATAACTATTTACATTGTATTCACAATTGTAAATACTATTTGCATTGTATTCAGTATTATAAGTAATCTAAAGATGATTTAAAGTATATGGGAGGATGTGCATACATAATATGCAAATACTACATCATTTCACACAAGGGGCTTGGGCATCTGTGGACTTTGGTATCCAAGTAGGTGTCCTGGAACCAATCCCCAAGGGATACCAAGGGATCAACTCTAATGTCTAAGCTCCAGAGTTCCAGGCATTCTGACACCTGAAGTTCTTGAATGAAGTGCCTGCGGATGATATTTGTAGAGAATGTCTACACGGTCAACTAATTTCCTTAATGAAGATTCCAGAATTTATATTCCCAACTGAATTTTGCCCTCTTCAAAGGAGTCACCCTGGGAAAGAGAATGCAATTTCTTTTGTTAAAAACCTTTCTATCACTTTTCTTTAGGAATTGTCAGCAGTCAAAACAATATAAGACATTCTTTCTGTCTCATTACTCTCCAGCCATATCTAAAGCTTGAAAACAATAATCCTGAATTTAACAACTTTGTCATTCAGAACTATCTGATAACCTGCTATTTAAGTAATTTCCACAAATTAAGTCCATTAAAATACAAAGACTTGCCACTCTAGTCAATATTCAACACCACTTTTTAAAAGTTATAGAAAAAAAGGTTTAAAATCAGCATCATCTCCTCTGAAGAGAATACGCAATTAGACATAGAATCTGGCACATCTCTTATGAGGAAGAGTCACAGCACTCAATAGCTGGCACATATTCTAATTTTTTCAAAGTTATACTTACTGGAAAGAAATGGCAAGGCAGAACACCAGCAAATTTCACTTAAAAAATTTACAACACACAATACACTTTAACAAATCTACTTTAATTCTAAAAGAAATTAATCTAGAACTGTCAGTAATACATAACATACTTTTATGTTTCTTTTATAGGTATCTATCTAATAAAAGTTTATTTGTATATGGGCAATGCATAATAACTCTATCTTAGATATGAATCCTAACAGGATGAAAATATTTTCTTGCAACTACTTTATGCCTATGAAGGGTGTGAACTTGCAATGTCCTCCTGTCTTAAACCCAAGTTAATGACAGTGCCCTCTCAAAACTTTTCATAAATTAATAATTACCTAATTTCATTTAAAAAATGGTTTCAGCAAATATGAAAACAGAAAGTCCGTTATTTGTCCATTCATAATATGAGAAAAAAAAAGATGATACATTCCTCTACAGAAAAAGTGGGTTTAGAGAACAGTTCTGGTAGTATTTCACATGGTAAAGTATCAAAAGGTCTAATGAGCAGCCCTCTTGCTCAGGGAAAAACAATGATTTTGATGTGTTTCTCTTCCAAATTGCTTAGTAACTCCAAGTGATTTTCAAATTTGGAGGCAGATTACTGGCACTGAGTTCATCAAATTTAGATCTATCTTGAATAGGGACATTATAGAAATCAAGAACATCTCTAACCCTGCACATCTGGTGGAGTCTGGAGTTAGGGACTACATGACCCAAGTCATCAGCTAAATGTGCCAAAAGATTGAACTTTAGACGACTATCTTCCAGGGAGATGTCTTGCCAATTACTAGGAAGAGATGAACCAAAAACTTCTTTAACGTAAGATTCCAAACGACTCTGGAGATCTTCAGGTGGTGTGTATGCTTGGCTTCGTAAGGGTGGACACACTAGGATAGGTTCCTTTTTCTCTTCTACTGTCTCAGCAACCACTGGCTCTTTCTCTTTTCTGGAATGATCAAAAACACACAAATCTATTAATGAAGTTGACAAACACCAGACCAAATCTTCCCCACCAATCAAAATCAACAATGGCACACTGACTACCGCTGGGGACCGTGGAGAGTAGTAAAGAATATGATAGGCCCCTGCCCTTAGAACGTTCATAGTTGAACTGAGTTGGGAGAGACAGAAAAAAACTAAGTATATATTTTACATACTGTAAGAATTCCTAAGAATAGATGAAGAAGTAAGGTAAATCATTCTGTCTGGGATACCCCATCCTCCAAGATCCCACCTCAATCTACCTTTCTGGTCTTACCTTTCACTGATTACCTACATATACTCCATGTGATACTCTATATCCTGTGTCCCAAGCAGACTCCCACTTTCCTGACACAATGTGTTGGCTCAAGTTATATCTTAAAATGTCTGTCTTTTATCTTCACCTATGTAAATCTTGCTTATTCTGTAAGTCTTAGGATAAAATTGTTCTCTTCCAAGAGGCTTTACGTATTCCAGAATCAAATATAATTGTAATTTCATGTGATCTCTTCAGCACTTTATACTGCTCTCAGAGTGCATCACATCCTACCTGACTTTTAATTTTACTTATATTCTACTTCACAGAAAGTGAAGAGATGGAAAAAGATATTCCATGCAAACAGAAACCAAAAAGAACAGGAGTAGCTACACTTACATCAGATAAAATAAATTTCAAGTCAAAAACTATAAAAGAGATTAAGAAGGTCATTACATAATCATAAAGAGTCAATTCAGCAAACGCATATAACAATTATAAATATATATGCAACCAATACT